AATGTCATGAGACAAAGTGTATGTGAGCTATTGTATGGAAAGTGAATTTACTCTGTATACTTTCACCCAAATCACAATTTAAAAAAAAAAAAAAAAAAGAGTAGCTGTCAAACCAAACCCAAGTGATCATGAGCTATTAGTCTGAGAGCTGTATGCAATACAGGAGACCAGAGATAAAGCTTGATGTTATATAAATGAGGATCAAAGATGGCCTCTGTGTATTGGCCCCCAGACTGTTGATTGCTTCATAGCACAATGGAGCTGTGGCCCAAAAAGCCCACCAGTGCTAAATTTTTACACATGCAGTTTTACACATGCAGTTGCTTTAAAAATAGCCCAGAAAAGCAGATTTTCAGCCATTTAGAGCCTGCCTGCTCTGCATACCCTGTGAAATGGTGCCCTACACCTGCTATTCATAGAGAAGATAAACCCTGTAGTTATAAAGACCTCAAGCTGCTGTTGCCCTTAGGAGTTCTCTGACCTAGGGACTCCCCCTTTTGCTGCTAAGAGACATCATCAAAATATATAATCCCTTTCTCCACTTTCTCTCTCCTCTGGGATTTCCTCTTCCCCTTCTGGTACCCCCCTTTGTTTGTCCCACTTGCCTTTGGAGGGTCTCCTGCAGTGAGACAAGCCTTTGCACAGCAACATCTTCAACTCATGGGCCCCAATAAATAACTTGTTTTGCAACACTGCCATCTCATGGTCATCTTTCTTTCCTTGTTGTTGTTGTTATTTGCCATCGAGTCGGCCCCGACTCATAGTGACCCCTCCTTGGGTTTCTGAGGCAGTATCACGACTCTGACTCATAGTGACCCCTCCTTGGGTTTCTGAGGCAGTATCACGACTCTGACTCATAGTGACCCCTCCTTGGGTTTCTGAGGCAGTATCACTACGGAAGTAGGATTGCCCAACCTTCCTTCTGAGGAGTGGCCGGTGGGTTTGAACCGTCAGCCTTCTGGTTAGCAGTCAAGTGCCTTAGGCACTATGCTACCAGAGCGCCTCTCTTTCCTTGAGCAGCCCCGAAATCCCTTGAACTCACTACACCTGGGCCCATTCTAAGTGGAAAAACTAATAATAGATCCCCTACATAAAGATGGGATGCTGAACAGCTGTACCCACAATATAAGAATGAACAAAAAATTTTCCATGAAGAAGGGAAGCAAAGAATCTTGCCTGTATTGACCTTGGTGCAAGAGAAAAGGAAGAAAAAAAGTATTCTCTGAGAATTTGTAACAAGCCTGCTCTAAAATGGGATTGAGACCTAAATTTATGCTATTTATATGATTTGGAAAGGAGCTCTGGTGGTGTAGTGTCTTAATGCATTTGACTGCTAACCAGAAGATTGGCAGTTCAAACCCACCAGCTGCTCTGTGGAAGAAAGATGGAAAGTATTTACTTCTGTAAACATTTGCTGTCTCAGAAACCCAATGGGGGTTGCTATGAGCCAGAATAAACTCCATGGCAGTGAGTTTAGTTTTTTTTTTTTTTTTTTTTGGTATCTGATTTGAAAAGAGTGCTGGTGGCACTGTGGTTAAAGCATTTGGCTGCTAACCAAAAGGTTGGTGATTCAAACCCACCAGTGGTTTCAAACCCACCAGTGGTTCCACAGGGGAGAGATGAAGCAGCCTACTTCCATAAATATTTACAGCCTTGGAAACCCTGTGCAGCAGTTCTACTCTGTCCTATGGGTCGCTATGAGTTGGAATTGACTCGATGGCAGTGGGTTTTTAGTTTATATGATTCAGAAAACCTAAAACAGATAAGACATTTTGAAGTAGTCCTTGGTTGAGTGTCCCAAGTTGACTGACAGAGGAAAGCATACATCTTCTTTGGAGGAAAACAACTTTAATCCAAGTCTCAAAGAGACATATAACTATATAGATATAGTTCCAAGGAAGACAAACTCACAGCCAAAAAATCATAAACAAACAAGGAAATAAGTCACTGTTGTTGTTATGTAAGAGTCAGCAAATACTGGGCAGAATCAGGCTTGCAAAGACTAAAGGCATTAGAACTATCACACATAGAATATAAAGTATGTCTTAGTTTCTTGGTGCTGCTGTAAAGAAATACCACAAGTGGGTGGCTTTAACAAATAGATATTTATTTTGTCACAGTTATCAAAAAAATAAAACAACCAAACTCACAGTTAGGAGGCTAGAAATCTGAAATTGGGGCATCAGCTCTAATGGAAGACTCTGTCTATT